GTATTTAAAAAGGAGAAAGGAGTAACTTGGGCAGAGTGCTGGATTGGAAGTCAGAAGACTTGGATTTGAATGCCAGCTCTGCTCCTTACTAGCCAAGTGACATGGGGCAAGACCCTGAACTTTCCCAGGACTCCATTTCCTCTTCTGTAAAATGAAGGTATGGAATTTGGTGAATTCTAAGGTCTCTTTCCAGCTTGATATCTGTGATCCATGACTTGCCTAAAGTTATGGAGGTAGTAAAGGGTAGAATTGAGGTTGGAATTCAGGCCTCTTGACTCTAAATGCCATTTCCACTGTATCACATTGACTTAGGAGCTAACCATCTAACTCCACGATCTTGTAATAAATTGTAGCAAGAACATGAACTGTATAGAAAGAATACAGATTTGCCTTCTTTTCCCATATGAGGCCATACAGGTTGATGGATTTCAGTGGGTAAGACTGGTTTCTCACCCTCTAACTACCTTCACATGCCACATAATGGAAGCTATGGGAAATTTCTTACTAAGTTTGTATAGGGAGGATATCTTATGTATCATTAGAGTATACACAGGGATGAGGGGGAAATGAATCAAGGTGCGTATACATCCAACAGAGGATGCCACTAAAGGTTCTTCTCTGTATCTTTCACAAAATACCTTGCACACTAATCTAGGTGAAATTTCTTTGATTCTTATTAGATTCCTAATCTTTTCCTGGTCATTTTTTCTCCTGTTTATCATCTTGAAATGATTAAGGAAAACAGGTGTAGAGCAGCCCATAGGTTTATGACTCCTTCCCTAAAGGTGAGATAATCATTCTTCTGTAGCTTCTCTACTCTTTGCCTCGTCTAGGTACTGGATATGTATTCTACTTTTATCCAGAACTTCTAATTTCCATTACTATGGCTGACATCAAACATATGCCAAAAGTTAGTAGCTGCTTTTTTTAAATATAGGGGAATAGGCAATGCAAAAGCAGGAGGAATGGGAACCATGAAAGGGCTGACTGATATGATTTGTTGGAAATTGAAGCAACTAATGCCAATTCTTTCCCCACCCAATCTCTTTTCTTCTTTTGAGGAGGAGCACAAGATGACAGAAGACTCATTCAGTTAACGGGGCAGGAATATCTTTCCCACCTCTGAGGCAAGGAGGGCAAGATGGAGTCCATCTCACTCAATCATTGCTCAATCTGTGACTTGCTCTCAGCATGGCAAGGACCCTGATTGCTGCTCTTGGTAGTGGTGGCTCCAAACAACAGCTGGCAGGGTCTTTGTAAAGGGGGGGCAGAGGAGCTTAATTGCTCTACAAATTCTGAATGTCATCAAGATGGAGGATGACCCTGATTTGCCACTTCTTGATTTGGATTCTTAACCCTAACAGCATCAATTCCACTTGAGAAAGTGCTTCCATCTCCATGGTAATTCCAACTCAGGGTTAGATCCTGATGTGGGGTTACAAAGTTTTGTGAATCAGCTTGATACATGCATTAGGGTTTTTTGAGACAGAAGAAGACCAGGGCCTCTTTCAATGAATAACTTACATTTTTATGGCACCTTAAAATTTATAATGCACTGTTCTTTCAATAACCCTATGAGACTGGCATTATAAGCATTATTACCTCCATTTCATATATGCAGAAACAGAAACTCAAAGAGTGAGTGACTTGGTCATGAACATACAGCTAGTAAATGTCAGAGAAAGAGGATTTGACTCAAGTCCCTTTGGACATCAAAGCCAGTGGTTTTTCCACAGTGCCTTTCCTATTTACATCTTTATTCCTTATCTATTCAACATAGTATTTAATTCTATTTGCTTATCAAAACTATTAAAACAGATAGTAATAACTATGCTTTTTAGAGTACAGTGAATTCCAAAGTATCATCTTTTCTTGAACACTTTATGATCCATTTTTGGTGGAGAGGGGAAAAATGTATATGTACATATGTACTTATCCAGAGAGGGAAAGGGAAAAAGAAAGACAGAGACAGACACAGAGAGAGACAGGAAGAGAAAGGGAGAAGACAGAGAGAGGGGGAGGGGAGGGGAGGGGAAGGGAGGAGAGGAGAAGAGAGGAGAGGGGAGGAGAGAAGAAGAGAGAAAGGAGGGAAGGGAAGAGGGAGATAACCTAGTGTAGGCTAAGTACCAATTCACTGGTAAAGTGGAATCATCAGAGACAAATCCTTGAAGATAACCCCCACAACTTCTTTGGACCAATTAAATGCTTATCATTGTTTGAAAGGTAATTGGAAACAGCACAGCACATACCATGGCCTTTTGCAATATCTAACTCTCATGTCAAAGCATCCCTTCTGACATGAGGACCCAAGTGTGATTTTGGAAGTCAAAATCTGACAAAATGTCTCTGGCTCATACTCTTACCAAGGGAAACCTGGGTTGCTTTCTGATGATTATTTAAGAGTATATGTTGGAGGCAGCCAGGTGGTACAGTGTATAGAACACCGGCCTTGAAGTCAGGAGGACCTGAGTTCAAATTCGGCCTCAGACCAAACACTTGACACTTACTAGCTGTGTAACCCTGGGCAAGTCACTTAACCCCAATTGCCTAAAAATAAAAATAAAAAAAGATGTGTGCTTAGCCAAGATAGGTGAAGGATTTATTGGAGTACCTCAATAAGTAGTAGATAGTATGGAAGGCATGATATGGGTACTCACTCCCCCAACAGAGATTCACACCTTAATTCATGATGTGATTCTCTGAGGGGGGAGTGAGTACCCACACCAATGAAATCATGATGAACTTAATGGTCCACCTGTTCACTGAAATCCTCCCCAACCATTTTAGTCATAGGTTTAAAGCTAGGAAGGACCTTAGAGATCTTCTAGTCCCCTCATTTTTCAGAATAAGAAACCAAAGCTCAGAGCAGCTAAATGGGTACACAGGTACTAAGTGGCAGGGCCAGAATTAGAACTCAGGTCCTGTGACTCCAAATCCAATATTTTTTCCCACTGTCTTTGATTGACATCACTCTCTTCTCTGAAATCCTGCCAGCACTTTACCAGTGAATTGGTACTTAGCCTATACTAGGTTATCTCCCTCTTCCCTTCCCTCCTTTCTCTCTTCTTCTCCTCTCCTCTCCTCCCCTCCCCTCCCCTCCCCCTCTCTTTGTCTTCTCCCTTTCTCTTCCTGTCTCTCTCTGTGTCTGTCTCTGTCTTTCTTCTTCCCTTTCCCTCTCTGGATAAGTACATATGTACATACACATTTTTCCCCTCTCCACCAAAAATGGATCATAAAGTGTTCAAGAAAAGAGTTTGTCCTTTAGATATCTTGTAGTTCTTTCTTTATATGGCAAGTGCTGGATTTAAAATAAAAAGACCTAGACTCAAATCCCAGGTCTGCCATGTACCACCTACCTGACTTTAGACTAGTCAAAAAGATTTTCCTTAAGCTCATACTTGACCATATCACTTCCCTACTCGTTAAAGTCCAATGACTTGCCTCTAAGATAAAAACTGTTTTAGACTTTTAAAGCCTTCCAGAACCTGGCCCCAACCTATAATCTAGTCTCATTAGACATTACTTTCCTAACCATTGCCTCAGTTCCCTCCCCCATCCTAACCCCTATATCTAGGCCTGGGCTCCAGACATACTTCACTCCTCAAATTTTTCCTCATCAGCTTCCATGCAGTCTGGTCCAGAAACCAAGCCCTGGAGGACTTAACCATTTGCTGCCTGGAACTCCCACCCCGAGGCTGTCCACACTGATTTTTGCCTCAGTCACTCACAACATGTATGCCCAGGCTCCAGCCATGCTTCACTTCACTCCCTACATTTCTCCTCATCAGCTGCTGGCACTATGTGTGTGTGTGTGTGTGTGTGTGTGTGTGTGTGTGTGTGTGTGTGTGTGTGTGTGTGTCCACATGTCCTCTCTTACCAACTCCACCCTTCCAGTTTTGGAACCATATCAGATTGATTATGTTATTTTTCCTGGAAAGAATGTATCAGTCTATGGCTTCAGTTATCATCCCTATAATATCGACAATTGATGTGTCCACCTCCCTGGCTACCACTCCCTTATATGTCTAGTAGAATGCAAACTCCTTGAATTCACTCATTGTCTTCACTTTTGTACTTTATATTTGTATGCTTATATCCCTAGCTCCTAGCACAGTGCTTGGCACATAGTAGATGCTTAATAAATCACTTTTTTCATCCATCCATCCATCCATCCAACCATCTATCCATCCATCCATCCTCAAATTCTCTGGTCCAAGCAAATTGGTTTTCTCTTTTTTTCCCCTCACTCACAGCATTCCATCTCAGTGCTTATCTCTGTGCTTTTGCCCTGGCCTGTTCCCCCGTATGTGGAAATCACTCCTTTCTCATCTCTGCCTCATAGAATATTTCATTTCATTCAATGTGAAGCTTAAGCAGCACCTTTTACATGATGCCTTTCTTGATCCCTCCAAGTGCTGGTGCCAACCTTCCCTATTTAACTGATATTTATTCTGTGTATGTGTATGTAGCACATGTTCTTTGGTGACTGTCCCAGCTGTCATGGCACTGATAAGTTGGGGGTCCCAAAGCATGGCTACCACATTTCCCTTCAGGGCTCTAGAGGTATCCCTGAAGGGTTAGAGAGTTGCTTTTCTAATGCTATAGATAAAAAAACCTCCACCAGTATACTTCTCCCTACCCCATGAAAGTTGTTGATACCTATTAGTCACACTGAATTAGATTTTAGAAAGGGATATTTTTTAAGGTGATCCATAAGCACATTTGGTACAGAACTCTCTCCCTCCCTAGTCTGTGACATACTCTCACATCAGTGAGACAAGCTTCGAGAACATGATGTGGCAGGGGATAACCCAGGATGTTGTCACTGGAAGTCCTTTTGTGACTTTTGTAGGGAACTCATAAAGTTCCCCATGGTTATGTCATACCTTTCTTTTTTTTGCTGAGCCTTGAATGGTGTCCAATCTCTCTTTGGGCACCAAAGCAGACATTGCTGTCTGCTGTGCCAGAAACGTATCTAGGGTACAGATGGGAAGGTGGCAAGTTTAATGAGCTCTAGATGTTTCAGGGCTCCCCAGGTTCTTCTCTTCCCACTCCCCAAGCAGTTCTTCCCCAGGGATTTGGCTGGAACCCTCTTTCTTGGCTGTTGTCTTTTCCATTGTTTATCCGTTCCCCAAAGAGTATGAAGTATTCCGTCATCGAATTACAACAGACTTCCTCTCAGCCTAGGGAAGCATCCAGGCTTTGTTCACACCTAGTGAATAATAGAAATGAGCTCTTATCTGATAAATTTATCAAGGCTAAATGGGGTGGGGGGATTCTAATTGTACTCTTATACATGTATATATTGTCTCTTCCAAGAGAATGTAAACTCCTTGAGAGCAGGGATTTTTTTTTGTCTTTTTATTTCTAGCACCTAGCATATAGTACATAGTAGGCACATAGTAGGCATTTAATAAAATACAAATTGATTGATTTACCTCACTGGGCACTAGTTTCTTGATCAGAGAGTTGGACTAGAGGACCTCATTAAGATCCTTCTAGCTCTGAATCTATGATCTCTATCCCTGCTACCTAGTATCCAATAAGCATTTTGTCAATGATTTAATGGTAGTGGTATCACATGAGACCCTACCCTTGGCACAATCTATCATTATCAGTAAAGGTTACTCAGCTGAAATTTCTTTGAACAGTAACAAAACCACAGGCCAGCTTCTCCCTGTTCTTTAAAAATGGCTATAAACTCTTCACTGCAGTGAAGTTGAAGCCCATTGCAAAAATCTTCATGAGAAAAGTTTTGCATTTGCTAAGAATGTGTACGACACTTGACTGCAGAAAGATACATCAGGTCTTGAGTCACATATTTTCCTTAATGGTCCATACAGGACTGCAGGGAGAGTGACAAAATCCCAGGCAATTTTTCTTTCCTGTGTGCTTATTTTGATGACATGGCAGTATCTTGATATGCTATGGGGCCAGGGGGGAATGAAGGGGTAGTCTAGGAAGTGCTGCCAAGACCTAAGCGGCAGCAGCATGGAAGTAATTCAGCTGTCAGTTTCACTAAAAGTTTAAAATCTGTGCCATATTAGAGCTATGTGCAGAAGCTGGGTTAATTGCTAGCTTGTTTTCCATATGGTTCTGTTTTAATGTGCACATTCATTGCAGATGCCTGAAAAGTAGATTAGACAGTGTCTAAACGGAGCTCTGCCTAATTCATCCAGAGCTTCCACTCTAATGCTTGACAGTCCCTTCCCAGCTCCATTGCTGTTGACATGTAGCCTAAGCTGGCTGAAAACTCTTCTCCTTTCTTGAAACTTGGCCCAAGAGAGCAGGAGCCACTCTTTTTCCTCCTGATTCAAATTCCAAGCCGTGCCCCAACTTAGTTTCTTGAGACTGTGCTCTCAGGTTATCTCCATCATTATTCTGGTTTGCTGAGCTTGTGGAGTCGAGGTAATGGGCTCTGAGCAGGGCCACTCGAAGGAGCTGAAGTGACCTTAACAAATATTCAAGGTGCCTTTGTTCACCTGCCAGCACTTTCACCTCTTCACTGGTGTGGAACTGAGCACAGTCATTTCAGGCAGCCTAGCATATTAATAACCATCTCTTGTTTGCACATTTTTTTCTACATCTTACACCATAAAATGGGACTTGTTAGATGCTTATGTTAAGTTAGAAGTGAAATCAGGGATAAATTGTCCAGCAATACTGTAAAAAATCTTTTCATTTCATGAGCATAACAAAAATCTTTCCTTTCCATCTACAAGACTGGAATATCAACATATAGTCATTGTGTTTGTCTTTACTATTTAGAGGGAGTTCAGATATGTTATCTGGCTCGACAATGAGGTACTGATTTCCTCTAAGTATTTTATTTTGGTGCATTTGTAACTAAACATGGAAGATTGTCTTCACATTTGCTCCCCACTATAGCTAATGTCATTGTCAGACTCCTGAGGTTGAGCTCAGCTAAGCCAAAAGGGAGGCATGGTTCAGTGGGTTTGTACCATTTCTTACTGTTTTTTTTCTCACATTGTCACTAAAATATTCTCTTTGTTATCTGAATGGGACATCTGCTGACTAGCTGGACTTCTTTACCTGATTGTGTGAAAAGTCTTAGTTAAATCTGTTAGGCCTTGGAGGCCTAGGAACCTGCTAAGTGCTACAGAGCCTGAAAGACACCGTGTCCTTGGACTAACTTGTCTCTTTCATTTATGAGTGTCTTTGACAAATAACACTGGGGTAGGTAGGAGACCAAGAAAATCTTGAATTTTAAGCACAGTCACTAATCACCTTATAATGAACAAATGGACCTTTTCTTACCTCCTATAAACGACTAGAAATGTGGCATACCCACTATTTTAAATAATATGTTCCCCCTTTTCTTCTGATAATGCTTGTGTTGAAAAAAACTGAATTTGGGTTTTGAATTGAAGGCATCATGGAGGGTTAAGAGGCCTGAATTTAGAGTCAGAAGGCTTAGGTTTTGTTACCCTTGCCTATGTGACCTTGGACAGATATATGGAAGGAGAAGAACAAGTAGCCGAGGCTGGACTCACACTGATGGATTGTGGTCATCTGCATCATCTGTGGGTGAACCCACATAGATAAGGTCATAGATCCAGTGGAATATTTTTGTCTTTGGGCAAGTTGCTTAACCTCAGGACCCTCAGCAGCCATCTAGTCCAGTCATATATGAAAGGAATTCCCACCATAACACAGCCAACAAGTGACCATCCAGGCTGGCTTTGAAGACCTCAAGGCTGAGGAGCCTGTCACCTCTCAAGGCAGCCCATTCCACTTTAGGACAAGGGTCATAGCATCATAGATTTAGGACTGAAGGGAAGTTCAGAGGTCATCTAGTCCAACCCTCTCATTTTACTGATAAGGACACCAAAGAGCAGCAAGGTTAAGTGCACTTATCCAAGGTCATACAGTTGATAAGTTTTTGAGCTAGTATTCAAACTCAGGCTTTTCTGACTCCAAGTCCAGCACTCTAACCATTACACCATGCTGCCATTCAACAGCTCTACTTGTCAGAAAGTTTTTCTGACATTAATTTTTAATTGACCTCTTTGTAATTTCTACCCATTGATTCTAGTTTTACTCTCTGGAGCCACTCAGAATAGATCTAATTTCTCCTACATATTTGAAGAAAGCTGTTATGTCCTCCCTGAATCTTTTCTTCTCTAGGCTAAACATCCTTCTGTTCATTCAACCAGTCCTCATAGAACATGGACTCAAAGTCCATCATCATCCCGCTTGTCTCCTTCCCTTTGCTTCCCCTACCCTCTCCATTCTTCACTTTATCAATACTTTTAAAAAACTGTGACAATCTGAACCAAACACAGTGTTCTAGATGGAGGTCTGCCTAGGGCAGAGAACAGTGGGATAGTCACCTCCCTATTCCTGGAAGTTATGCCTTTTTTAATGAAGCCCAAGGTTATAATAGCTTTTCTTTGGCTGTCCCATCACACTGCTGACTCATATTGCGCTTGCAGTCTCCCAAAACTCTCAGAATAACTGTTCTCTATCCATGCCTCCTCCATCTTGAACTTGTGAAGTTGGTTTTTTTCTGTACCCAAGTGAAAGCCTTTACATTTATCCCTATTGAATCTCATTATATTCATCCCAATACTCTAGACTGTCAGGGTCCTTTGGATCCTGGCTCTACCATCTACCCCACCCAGCTTTGTGCCATCTGCAAATCTGATGAACCTTTTCTATACCTTTATCTAAGTCATTGATAAAAATGTTAAACAGTACCATGCCAATTATAAATCTCAGGCATTCCTAGGGAGTACTCTTGCCTGTTTGATGTTGAATCATTCGGAACTTATTCTTTGAGTCTGGCCATCCAACTAATTCTGAATTCATCAATTTGAATTAATGTATTGTCCTTATCTCTCTATTTTCTCTACAAGACTAGTATGAAATACCTTATCAAAAGTTTTGTTGAAACCTAGGTAAGCTATGTCAACAACATGATTAGATTGGCAATTAGATTGCCCAAAAAAGAAAATTACAATAACATGATCTTTTCTTGAAGAACCATGCTTACTCTTTGTATTTATCACCCCTTTCTAGATGTTCACTATCTATCTCTTGAATGCTGTCTTCTAGAATTATCCCAGGAATTGAAGTCAAAGCTCTCTGGCCTATAATTTTCAGACTTTGTTCTCCCCCACCCACTTTTTAAAAAAAATCTATACCACATTTATTATTTCTGTTATTGTTGTTCAGTCATTTCAGTTGTGTCCAATTCTTTGTGACCCCGTTTGGGGTTAGCAAAAATACTGGAATGGTTTGCCATTTCCTTCTTTGCTCATTTTGCAAATGAGGAAACAGAGGCAAAGAAGGTTAAGTGACATGCCTACATTTGCCTTTCTCCAAAAATGGTGTAGAGAAGAGGAATATTGAGGAGGAAGGACTGAGTGATCTCTAAGATCCTTTCCAGTTTTAAATTCTACATTTCTAAACCATCTAAACTAAGATTTATCTTTGTATTACCTCAATCTCCTAGCCCAGTGTTCTAGGTAAAGGGGTTCTTTAATTCTTGTTTGCTGAATTGAATGACATTTCCTAATTCTAATATTGCTATGTGTCTGCTAGGAATCTGGTCCAAAATGGGTGACCCAGTGATTTGGTCAAGTGTGCTTAGAATTTTCACCAGAGATTCAGCCTGGCTCCATGCTTGCCCAGGACTGCATTTAACTGGTGATGGGGCATCTTGCTGAACATTCCTCTTTTCCACAGAAACTAACCTTCTTTAAATGTCAACTTCAATGTTGAGGTTTTATGAGAATGGAAAGGAATACACATTTTCACTTATTTTAGACTCCCCTCTGGAAAATGTAATCTGCTGCTGTTGTCTCAGGTTGAGCGCAGGCACGTAGTTTTCAAATACTCAATGGAAAGCAAACTCAATCCAGAATTAGACTAGGAGAAATGTAGCTTCCTTGTAAAAAATTTAATAATTGTCACACATCCGTCTTAGTCATTTTTTGACCTTTCCCTTAATTTATATGCACCCTAGAGAATTCTTCTTCTTCTTTTTTAAATGTTTTTGTCTTGCCTTGTTTGTTTTATTTCAAGCCTGGTTTAGCTTTTCACTGAAGCAAGAGTTTAAAAAGGTCAAAGCAAGAATAGAACAATTACCTCCCTAACAACTGTCAATTAGTTGCACATTACTCAAGGTGGGACATGGCCAGTCTCCCAGTAAAATTTAGAAGCAGATGTGGAGAATTCTTTTTTGGATTAGGTCCACCTTGAGACATTTCAGAAGGTCCCCTAAAGCTCCCACCCAGTATTTCTTTTAGTTAAGTTGGTTTGGGGTTTCCTCACCTCCACAGGATTCTCCTCAAATGCAAAGATAATGGTCTTCCTTGATTTTAAACTCAATTGAGAGGCTTTTAGGATCATAGGAATTAGAGGTGAAAGGGAATTTAGAGGATATCTTTTTTTTTTAGAATTGCTTTTTTTTTTTAGGGATTACCTTTTATTTTAGAGGAGAAAGTTGGTCTAGTTAAAGAAATGCTGGGTTTATAGCCAGAAGATCTACATTTGAATCCTGACCCTGCTAGTTATGACTTGTATATCCTTGGGAAAGTCATTAAATTTTTCTGGACCTTAGTTTCCTCATGATGGGGGGCTGGACTAGATGACCTCTAAGGTTCCTTTGAACTCTAAATCTGTGACCCTTTAATGATCCCATGAAGCCTAGAGAAGGGAGGGAACTTTCTCAGGGTCCAAATAGTACTAAATAAAATAGCCAGGAGTGTGAACCCAGGCCCTCTGTCTCCAAATCTGAACAGAGCTCTTTCCACGACACACTGTTCTGCCCTTGCTTGAATATAGAGAGGTGGGGCTGTATGTGCTCTCAGGCAACTGGAGATCAGTTATTACCAGACTGCCAAACAGCTAGTGTGGGAGAGGCCCTAAGAGTGAGGTTGAAAACTCCAATTTGCCCCAAGCTGAAGTTTATAAAGTGAGGAAAAATCCAGCCTAGGCTATTCCCAATATCCTGAGAAAAAGCTAGGGAATTTATTTTTTGGGAGGTGGGGTGGGGAAAGAAATAGTGTTTTAGTTTTAAGTAGAAAAAATAAGATAAGTCAATTCAACAATTCAACAAGCATTTATTAAGCACAGATTATCAGGCATTGGCCAAGATACTCAGGATACAAAGACACATTTCAAAAGACAATTGGTTTGTTTCCTACTGACTGTGAGTTTCAGGATCCTATAGTGTTATTATTGGAAGAGACCTTGCACAGACAATCCAGTCTATCCCCATCATTGTAAAGATGAGGAAATGAAGGCTCATGATGTGAACAGACTTGCCCAAGTTCACGAAGAACAGGAATTTGAACCCAGGCCTTCAGATGGGTGCTCTAGCACATTCCAGCTCAGATTTTCAATTTCAGCTTAGACTCCAAAACTGTACCTGTTTTGGCATTGATTTTGTTCTCAGAAAAATAGCAGAGCCAAGCTTTTCATTTAATTGTAATAAAACACTGCCCGGAAGAAGAATAAAATGTGATTTTTTTACTAGTTCATATGGAAAAGCATATAACTGTAATAATATTTTAACTATAGTTTGTATAGACCATAGTCATTTAAACTCTATGCAAATATCTGTGACTTGGGGGGCAAACAAACTACAAACCCATAATGTGTGGTGTAGTGAGCACACACCATAAATTTGATAATCATACTTGCGAATTCATCATATTTTATATCGGAGATTGCAGGAGTAATAGGACTAGCAATGTGCAAATGAGGTGAAAAAAAATGGTGCCCACACTCTCGTCTATTTCATGGCTGTAGACCCGGGAGGCAGCAGCACATGCATGGCTCATCCCATTTAGTGCGAGTGCTGAATCCTTGTGAAGTGGCCACATCTATTTGAATTCACACTATTCAAAGTTATGATTATGTAAAATATGCTCATTGGTTCCAGCCCAATGTCAATATGGAGCACCAGTTTGGATAATTTGACCACTCTGTGGTTTTCATTGTTTGCAATAATTGGGATTTGGCTGTATTGAGAGGAGTGTTAGACCTGGAATCTGGAGACCTGGGTTCCAATCTCATTGTTGATTCTTACTAGCTATTTGATCCAGAGCAAATTACATTATAGTTCTGAGTCTCAAGTCCTCATCCATAATGAATCTTGTGGAATATAAGCTCCTCAAGGAAAAGAAGGGTGCCATTTTCTTCAGTCTTTGCATCCTAGCACCCGGCATGGTGCCTTGCACATTGTAGGTATTTAATAAATGGTGGCTGAATTTTACCACTTACCTATGGGGTGTAATTGGAGAACAGTGCTGGAGGGACAGCTTGGGTTCGAATCATATTTCTAACACTTGATTGTTATGTGATTATCACCTCTCTGCCCCTCAGTTTTCTCACCTGTAAAATGGGAATAACAATAATAATATCCATAATATTTTACTCATACAGTTAGTAGGGGAGGGGATAAAATGAATATATAATGAGCTTTGCAAACTCAAAATGCTATATCAATTATTGTTATTATTTGCTCAGGATTTTGTGATGAAAGAGCTTTTGAAATTTTAAAGTACTATAGGAAGAGGAGTTATTGTTATTCTTACTTCTCTGTCATGTGGCAATGATTGATAAGGAGGGATATTGAAAGCCTAGGAGTTTGATAGTGTCTCTAATTTGTGGAAGTCGTCCATTTCCGTGCATGTCTAGGGTGTTAATAAAAGTAGTCCTTCAGCCAGACTGCAGGAACTGAACGCCTGGACTGCACATGGTGCCCAGCTGGGCCTGCCTTACCCACTTAGAGAAACAGGAGTAGGAGGCTGTCAAGGGAAAGTGAAAAAAAGTCATTTGTTTAGCTGCATGGCAACACAAATATTTCACTTAGTGAAGGCTGACAATGCATCTCATTATGTGAGCGGGTGCCAGCTTGTAAAAATTTTCTGTTTAACTTTCCATATTAGTTGAAGGTGCTTGTGCTTAACTATTTGAGCTCTGACATAGTTAGCCACTTTTAAAAAAAATCCGAGACTAACAAGTTGAATAGATGAGGGGATCTATACCACTGAATTACACATTTGGGAATGAATGGGGAAATTAACCAGTCTGCAGCCTGACACCAGTCTGTAGTCAAATCTTCTGCCTCTCCTTTTATTGTGCTTTTGTTCCCCATTAAAACTGGCCCACACACATGTTCCCTGGACAATAGGACACCTGGTATCATTCCCAGGTGAGGTCACCTTTTCTTGGCTCTGCTACTATTACCAGGAGTCTGGGACATTCTCTTCTCAGGGTTGACGTGGGCAAGGATAGGTCAGCCACAGCTCTGGGTTTCCCATTTTACATTTGAGAGCATAGGATAACTAGGGAATTGTTTCCTTTTTGTGTAAGATTGCCTATTTATGCAAACTGCAATTTGGAGTTTGAAGAAGGCAGAGACCACTGAACTTTGGGATGGGTGTGGTTTTTAACCCAAAGAAGCAATTACTTTGTTCTGCTAACCTCAATTTCAGCAGCTTTGTTTTTAAGCTTCCCAAGGATTTTATGACCTGTGTGTCACTCATCTGTAAAATTAGGGGGCTGCACTAGGTGATCTCTATAAGGTCCCTTTGAATTCTGAATCTATGACCCTATAATAATCTCATGAAGATCAGTATGTTATAGACGGCAGAGGGAACAGTTTTGGAAGGTTGGAATTATTCAATTCAATAACACATTTATTAAAGGTATTTATTCCCTACAAGGCACTATGCTAGGCACTTGGAATACAAAGACAAAATTGGAACAATGCCTGCCCTCAAGATGCTTACAGTCTACTGTGGAGATAGTGCATGCAACAAGATAAGTAGAACAAACATAGACAAAGTAATATAATTTCAGAAAATATTAACACTGGGGCGAAGATGGGGGTGGAATGGAGATTAGGAAGGGCTTTGGTAATACCTGATTAGTGCTGTGAGAGAAGATAGGGATTCAAAGAGGCAACGGTGAGAGAGAGTACCCTCTGAAGTCTGTGCAAAAGTTGGAGGTCAGAGAAAGAATACCAAGCGAGCAAGCTAACTTGACTGGAGTGGAGTATGGGGGAACAATATGAAACAGTATGAGGAAAGTAGGCAGGAGCTATATTGTAGAGGGATTTAAATGCCAGGCTGTGGATTTTATGTTTTATCTTAAAACATTAGGGAGCCACTGAAGATTTTTGGGAAGGGGAGTTGCTTTAGTAATATCAATTTGGTAGCCATGTAGAGGATGATTGAAATACATAAAAGTGATGGCCTCTACTACTGTCAAGCACCTTCAAAAACAACCAAGAAGACCACTTGCATGGGTTTTCTAGGATATCCAGATTTTTATTGCCATTGTTATTATGATCATAGTTCAGATCTGTGATTTAAATAGTATGGGGAAACTCCTGGTGAGGAGACTCTTCTCCAGTGAAGTTGTGCAAATCACCTTTAGAGGTGTTGGCTGGGGCACTGAGAAATAAATGGCTGTCCCATGTCACACACGAGTATGTATCAGAGGCATGACTTGAACCCAGGTTTTCTAGACTTTCAAGCTGGCTTTTTATTCCCTCTGTGATATTGCCACTGGACTTCCATGTCTCTGGAAGAGAGAGGCTGATGACTTTGTGCAGCTCTGCCTCACTTAAATCTAATTCATGCATGAGTTGAGACATTACCCTATGCTGTCATTGGTCCTCTTTGAAAATGAAGGATGAAGGACAGGTAGGTGGCGCAGTGGATAGAGCACTGGCCCTGAGGTCAGGAGGACCTGAGTTCAAATCTGGCCTCAGACCAAACACTTGACACTTACTAGCTGTGTGACCCTGGGCAAGTCATTTAACCCCAATTGCCTAAAAAAAAAAAAAGAAAGAAAAAAGAAAATGAAGGCTGAACACCACCTTGTATTCTGAATATCCTATAGATGTACAATCTACAAGAATAATCTCCCTCAATAGAATCTAAATTCCTTGAGGGCAGAGGCCTTTCTAACTTTTGTGTTTATAGCCCCAGCACTTGACTCAAGGCCTATCTTCTATATGGAAGCCACTTTGTCAATTCTTGTTGATCGATTAATTGGTGTTTGGGTGATTCATTGGTCCTTATAACAACCTTGTGATGCGTGTCAGGTATTGTTACTCTGATTCTGTAGATAAAGGAACAGAGGCTTAGAGGGGTGACCTGTTTAGAGTCATATATTTGGTGTCAGAACTTGGACTTGAACCTAGGGAAGTCTATGCTTAGTGTGGTACAATGGAAAAAATACTGAGGTTCAGTCTCTACTTTGCTACTTTCTACTTGTGTTTCCTTGGGCAAGTCACTTAACTTCTCTGGGCTCAGTTTCCTTTTCTATAAAATAAGAAGTTGGACTACTGCTTCTTCCCACAGTCATTCCCTGGTTTTAGACCAGATGACTTCTGAGGTCCCTCCCAGCTCTTATTCTATGATCTATGACCCTACACAGCTAACATTTAACACCTTAAGATTTGTAAAGCACTTTAAATACATTATCTCATTTGATTCTCTTGACAATCATAATTATTGCTGCCATTATGAGACAGGAACTATTATTAGCCCCAGTTTATGAGAAAACTGAGGCTGAGAGAGGTTAATTGACTTGCTCAGGGTCACATCGCTAGTAGGTGTCAGAGGTCCTCCAAAAATCAAGTGAGTACTTGTGCCAGTCTTACCTATTTTGTATTTGAGACTCAGTTACTTTTCATGGGGAGTAGATAAAGATTTTACCTGGGTAGCCTATCAAAGCCCATCATTTGCTTTTCTAGTATCTCCGCTATTAGAATATACTTCTCAGAATGAGATGGAGGCTCACAGGACTCTTTACTACTAAGTCACTTAAAAAAAAGTTGGTGTATATCTTAGCTACATGTCTTTGGTATACAACATCATATACAGATATGATATCAAGCTACTCCATTGTTTTTGCACATTGTGAAAATGATGATTGACACAGTATTTCAGCAGACAATATGTCTCTCATTTTTTCAGATGTTGCATAATGGAATGTTTTGAAAATATGGGTTGGTAAAAATAATAGCTTGCATATATATAGCACCTTCAACTGTAACTCTGAAGATACTATCTGATTTTACAGAGCAGCACCCAACACTTTCTTACCTCTGCCATCTTTGTTCACACTTTTCACTCCTCTGAAATCTCCCTTCCCCCAACCCTTCCCACTATCTGTATCCTGTTGAAATCCTTCAAGACCCACCTCAAATCTCCCTTTTTCATGAAGACTTTTTAGATCTGCTACCAGATTATCAGCTGCCTGAGAGCAGGGAGTCTGTCTTACTCATCTTTATGTCCCCCCTGACTGTACCTAGCACAGAATGTGTACTTCAGCAGCTGTTGAATGGATAAAAGATCAAATCCTCTGAAAATCTCTGGGACACAATCAATTTCACAAGCTCACCAAATGTGTAACACCCCACCTATTTTTCCTTCTTCTGGAAAGTCCTGCCACCTTCTTCAGCTTCTTCCCACAGTCATTCCCTGGTAGTTAGGCAAGATGTAGTTTCTTGATTTTGCAGATGAGATAAGTGAAACAAAGCAAATGCTTTTTATTTGTTGTGAAATAATGACAAACTGTACATGAATGGCATTTCACAGTTTACAAGGGGCTTTCCTCATAATGACACACTTTATGTAAGCTTAGAGTAGTGAGGTTTTCCCCCAAGGTCCCCATGCTAATGAGAGACTGAGATGGAACTAGACCTACTCCATCTGTCTCTTCCATTTTTTGGCTTCTAGTTCTAGTGATATTCACTGCATAACATTACTTTCCTGAACAAAAGTAATATGTGATTCCGGCATTTAAGGTAGGAATGGGGCCGTTGACCAGCTTTGACCATAGACACCTCCTACGCCTTCTCTCGATTAATTTCCCTCTCCAGGAAATCACAGCATCCAGGACATTATTAAGGATCCCTGAAAAAGTCTATGTAACTGAGGCAGATATATGCTTGCATGCAACCTGCAAGGGGAAGGCTTGTGAGTATATCTTCCCAGTCTTGAGGGTTACTTCATTAGTAAAACCAAGTTCAAGGGTTTAGGGGATAAGGAGTAGGAACCATCTTTTGCATTGTACTCTTCCTGATTAATAGTTTAATGGATGGCAGTATGAGTTAAGCAGGTTCAAAGACAAAGAATTATAATGGCTCACATTTATAAACCACTGTTTAAAAATAATTTTTTCCCACCATATCCTGGTGAGACAGGTAGTACAAATGTTATCCTCATTCTCCTAAGAGAAAACAAAGTTTAAGAGAGATAAATTGGCTTCTTCAGGTCACAAAGCAAGTCATAATGCAGGACCTGAAACCAGGCTCCCTGTCATTTAGCCCTGTGATCTGTGATTGGCCCCATACTGCCTTTTAAGCTTGGTTTCTGCAGTTTATCTTTGACTTCACCATCTGTATCTTTCTCCTTTCTTGGTAGCTTCCTCTCTCCATCTCCTTCAGTCATCCTCTGACTCTCTTTGTTTCTTTCTTATCAAAATGTGTTTTCAGAAGGGGATCTCAGGAACTCATTCACAGTAAGGTGTACATGACTCATAATAATGCAAGATCAAATCTTGCCAGGGTGTTTATATTTCACTAGGGATTAAAATCCCTAAGATAATAGAATAAGGAAATTCTAGGAATCTTTTTTTTTTTTAGGCAATCAAGATTAAGTGACTTGCCCAGGGTCACACAGCTAGCAAGTGTTTGAATCTGGATTTGAACTTAGGTCTTCCTGACTCCAGGGCTAGCGTTCTATCCACCATACCACCTAGCTGCCCCAGGAATTCTAAGCATCATAAAGGCAATGGCCTGTTTTACTATGGGTAAGAAAGAGAAAGGCTCAAATATAACTATCCTTCAAATAATTTCTTGGGGATCCATGGGTGGAGAGGGCCCTCCAAGGTGTAAGACAGAGCATTCCTTTCAACAACTTTTATCCCAGAAATCAGAATTCAAACCCCTTCTATTGGTGCAAAGGAATATAGGAACAGGGTACTTTCTAAGTTTTCTCAGAAGGGAGGGAATCCAGTTATGGCTCTCAAAAGAAGAATGTGCTTCTCTTCCCCACCTGAATATGGCCAGATTCACCATTTAACTTGTAGCCACGGACTCCTCAAGACACGGGGCCTCCATTGACCATATCTAATCCTGTGGTCTGACCCAAAGGGTAACTTTCTTTCTTTTTTTAGCTTGTTGCTCCTACGCTAGAGTTTTACCCTAGGGAAATGAAAATAAACCTTAGAGCTCAAATGTGGGTAACAGAGTCTCCATGTCCCACATAGGTACTTAATGTACAATATGGTATTGGGTATAGGACATTCTTTGTTTCACATATCACAAAAACCCCTACAAGTCCTAAAGGACTCACAGGAGCCTATGAACAAATATAGAGAGAAATCATTCAAACAGTCCGTTGAACACCCCTGGAAGGTAAATTTTTTTGGGGGGGCCCTTCCTCTCAAATCTGCAATGTTTGACTAACTTGTGGCAATATCAAGGAAAGGTTAGCAAAGTCTCCAGATTGCTTCTTATCCCCTTCAAGATAGTTCTATTTTCCACATGTAGGGGTAAGGATGAACTCTTCTCCTTTAGGCTTGATGCTTGAAAACTCAAACTCAGGAACCCTTGAACTTGGTTTTACTGATGAGGTAACCTTCAAGACTGGGAAGGTCTACCCACAAAAACTCCTTTCTCAGATTGCACGTGGGCGTATGTCTACCTTAGTTACATATACTTTTTCAGAGACCCTTAGTAATGGCCTAGATGCTGTGATTTCCTGAATATGGAAAGTCCATTTTCATGGGAACATGAGCTCAGAAAAAGACTAAGAAATGAAGAAGGCAGGCAGGAGCTGAAAGTGCATGAACTCCCTTCCCAGGCTTGTCACGTTCATATGAAAATCCTCATTACTACTCCTGGCAGGTAAAAAGAGACAATTCCCCTCTTCCCCACCCCCACTGTCCTATCTTTCCCTTAGTACGTTGGTTTGGAAGTCCAATAAAGAGAGAATGAAAAAATGTACCAGTTATTTAGGGGGAGGGGGAGCTCTTCTAGCAAGAATACCTTATACCCTACATAGCCATCTACTATATCTAACTGTCCTCAGATCATGCTTCACATTTCATTCATCTATCTACCATGAAACAAAGGCCTGTTCTGACCTCTTGCCATCTTCCCTGTGACAATGCATCATTCCCTCCTTTTACCCCCGCCTCCACCTCTCACCTTCTGCTTAGCTCTGGGAACAATAACCAAATCAATACTGTTATTGATACTCAAAAGGGTACAGTAGCTGATAGTACTATGACTCTACTCAACATTCCTGTGACTTTTCATAACAAAATTTCCATCCTTGGCCACCACTCCTTTATATGTGTTCCCTCTTATTTGAATGTAAGCTTCATGACTGTAGGAATCATCTTATTTTTTTTATATTTGGCTCCCTATCATTGAGTACAGTGCTGGATACACACTGTTTATTTAAATGCTTCATTCATTCATTTGTAGACAACCTGAAATGCACACAGCAAGGAACCTGTGAACATGCTTGACCACTTTTCCCCTCCCCCCATATCTTACTTCTTCTCCCTACAATGGGTTTGATTACTACCTTGAGGTTTCTAAGATACTTCAGAAAAAGTCTCTGTTATGGTCTAATGGCACACTGAAAAATAAAAAAATATATAGAATGGGAGAGTTGGAAGGGTCCTTAGAACATAGAGCTGGGAACACTCCTAGAACATAGAACATAGAATGTCAGGACTGAGAGGGATTATAGAGGTCATCTCATTTTACAAAGTTAAAGTAACTGTGTGTGTGTGTGTGTGTGTGTGTGTGTGTGTGTGTGTGTGTGTATTTTCTGAAATTAATTTCCTATAATGATAGAAAAGGAAGAGATGATCCCAGGCAGGAAGGGCACCAGTTCTAGCTATTACCCAGACGCAATCCTGTATGTGGGGATTTCTTTATGTGACTGTCCTTGCATAATACACATGCCAGATGTTATCACTGTAACTGGAAATAGGGGACATGGAAGAACCTGAAGAAATCCATAGTTTGTACCCAAACCTTTTCAAATTGTTTCACTTTTCTTGGCGTGAGTGAAGGAGTATAGAGGATATAATGAAATCTGTTGTAGCTATAAAATAGTTTTTGATTGAAAACTTATATAGCTGACATGGCAAGAGAAGTGCTAAGTTTGTAATATTTTTTACTTTTCGTTCACCCCCAGGCAAATAGAATATGTTTTCATGTATCTCTTCTCCCTTAAAACAGAGTAAAAATGTATCCTTAAAGGATTAAAGGAAGAAATATGTTTATATCTGTAAAATCCACTTGGCTACTGTAGTCTGACTTACTTTGGGTAGAGGGAGAAGCTAAACAGGTAGAGGAGTATACTACTTTATCTGTCTATAGATGAAGAAAAAAACAGCTCCTACTTATTAGTGAGATTTCCACATTTGTTAGTTATATTCATCAATACATAAATTCCAGTTGAAAGCAGGTATAACAGATTGACTTCAAACCAGGGATTTTATTTTCAGGTTAGAAAACAAACTAGGGACTAATCATTGTGGCACATTGACATTGCTGTTTTATGGGGGGGGGGGACCTACTGATAGAGGAAGATGTAGTCTCTAAATGCAGCTATGCAAATGGTATTTGACTTGGCAAATGACATTTAAAGGAGCCATGTTTTTCTATTTCTATTTATTATATAGCCTTTCAATAGATCTCCATCCTGGATATTGACCTCTGTACAAACTGGTATCATAAGCACAAAGACTTGGTAGATGTTTGGTCATCTTTAACCATGTACAAGAAATTTAAAAAACACAATGTAAGAAGACCCTTTTGAATAAGGTTTTCTCATTTAAAAAAAAAGGATTTACATTTCTCTGGTCCCTGAGCTACCCAAGGGTATATATTTCTCATCAGTTTGGACCTTTTCCCCTTGCCAAGACCTCGATATAACATACCAAGACCTCCAGTTGGCTTAGCCCTTATAAATGGCTGAATGCATAAACCTCAGGTCTGAGAGGCTATTGCTCTTTTGAAAAGGTTGTTGTGAATGAAGAAGCAAATGGGTATGGTATAGTAGAAAAAGCCCTGGACCTGGAGTCTGTAGAGGTCTGGCTTCCAGTTTTATCAAGTAAATGGGCAAATACTTTCTCTGAGTTTCAGTTTTCTTATTTGTATATTTGCGCTATCTGCTCACAGAGACAGAATAACATAGTGGATAGAATATTGGGCTAGGAAAGCAGGAAAATCTGTGTTAAAAGGGGGCCTCTAATGTTGACTAGCATGTGACCTGGAGAACCTCTCAGAATCTGAGTTTCCTCATCTGTAAAATGTTAATAATAAAGCCTGTAGTACCTACCATATTATAGGATTATTGTGAGGATTAAATGAGACAACCTTAACCTCTATGAATCTCACTATTCTCATCAATAAAATGGGGAAAATGACTTTTGCAGAATTATCTCACAGGGTTA